AAGTTTCTCAATGAAGTTTCTCAATGCCATATTAGAAATTCGTAAGCTTGCATCATCTTGAACATTAGAGTACTTGATTTCTCATTTATTCACAAGCAAATTTCCTTGTGGTAGATATAAGAAAGATGGTTGCTCTTGTTTGATTGTGTTTTTGTTTCCTATTTACATTTTTGGGAAAACTCAGGGGAAAAAATATTTGGTGATTTGTTCATGAAAACAACCCATTATTCACAAACCACCAAAAGTTGTTTTCGAAAATTATTTTCTCATAAAAATGAAAACGATGTGCAAACAATGGATGTTCTTGAATTTTTCAATGTTTTTGTTTTTGAAAACACGAAAAACGAACAAAAGAAAATGAAAAATAACCAAACAGGCCCAATTTTGAGTAGGTAGGACTTCAAGATCAAGACTCAAGGATGGCTGAGGTAGTTAGAACTAATTAACCTAGACAAGGTGACAACGGCACCACTGGTTCTCTCCCTCACATTTGATTACGAGCCACACAATGGTCACAACCCTTCTTCATGGTTGAACTTGAATTAATTAAGCTAAAAATGTGGGGGAAGAGGTGGTGTACTGATACATGACACTTCCTTCTGCACAGATCCTTTTCCGAGTCGTTCTTTATTTATTCTTTTTTTTTTTTTTTGTAGAAAATTCTTTGTTTATTCATTGTTTTGTGCAATCCTGACTCAACTGCCATTCTTTATCAAGATTTTGTGGCTAATGCACTTCCATATACAAATTTTGTTTAACTTTTTATTTTTATTTTTTATGTTTCTATATCATTACTCTATTTCTAATGCACACCATTACTTTTTCACATGCACACCATTACTCTTTCACAGCTTGTATACAAAAATATCACTTTTTATTTGAAATGAAACAAGAGCGATAACCAGCTCCTTATACATAGAAATTTAAAGTACTTCAATTAATTTGCAACACAGGACACAAGAACTAGTAGTACATAGAAAAGAAAATCAGTCTGCAATTCGAAACTGCATATCTTTATTTTTGTTGAAAATATGTTTTGGCAGAGGCGAGTAGTTTCTCTCTGGGTGGCAGATGTTCTTTGATGATAGGGCAATTAACACACTCTTCGATCCATTTGTAGAGTCTGGGAATATATGCCAAGTTTAACTAGTGAATCATGTGTTACTTTTTGATTTTGGTATATTGAAATTTTGTAATTCACCGTAGGAAAATTTGCTTTCAATTTGTTCATCTATAATGTGAAACCAATGTTTTTAGACCAAGACCTTTATTATTAACATTTTAACATTATATTTTTTTTTTTCATATGTTTGACAGATTGGCAATGGATGGAATATAGTTCGGGGAGCATCAAAGGATTACATTTTGAATTTTTTGATATATTTTGTCATAGGTTTTTGTTATGAATTTGCAAGTTTGGAAGGTTTTTTGCAATTACATGTTTGAAGTTTTTTTCACACGTTTGACAGATTGGCAATGGATGAAATATAGTTTGGGGAGCACCAAAGGATTACATTTTGAATTTTTGGATATATTTTGTCATAGGTTTTTGTTATGAATTTGCAAGCTTAGAAGGTTTTTGGGCATTACATGTTTCAAGTTTGGGATTGTAAGAGATTTGTACTTAAATTGGATGTTTTGGATTTGATATGTTGTTTATATTTAATATGGTACTACTTTTGAATTAAGTTTATATTTTGGATGCTTTGCACAAGTGTGTTAATTTGAATTATATTTTTCTTATGTTTATAGGTTTATGAATTATGTATTGAACAGGAAAATTGTTTAAAAAAAATTATAAATAATGAATTTTTGGTGACAGGTTTTTTTAGTTGTAAATTTACTTTTGGTGACATTTTATTTATGTTGCTGAAAGTATGTGTCAATTTTTTACGCGACCCAAACTTGATTGGTCGCCAAAAGTTTTAACATTCAACAACCAATTCTTTTAGTCACTAAAAGATATTTTTAGCGACGCATTTATATGTCGCTAAAACTTAACATGTCATCAGCTGAAGGCTACTTTTAGTGACTAAATGTTAATTTATGGCGACAAAATTTTAGTCTTTTGGCGACGAAAATATTTGATCGCCAATTTATTTATAAAGGCAACCAAAATTGATTTGGTCGCCGAAGCACTTAGTGACAGGGCTTTAGCGACCAATTTTGTTCATGTCACGGATACTTTCAGTAACCAAAATTACACTTTTGGTGACTAAAAAACAGGTCGCTAAAAGTGTTTTTTGTTGTAGTGTAGTGAAGCAGCAATAGGATAGGCAGAGAATCATATGTATAACAGTAAGTCTCGACACATTCGTCGAAGACATAATATCGTTCGGCATTTCTCTCACATGGAATAATTTCCATAGAATATGTAACGTCAAGGGAGAATGTTGTAAATCCATTAACTAAAGGGCTAGTCAGAGAGCAAGTGTACCATTTATCGAGGGGAATGATATTAAAGCCTATTACGTAAAAGTCGTCATAATGGCAACCCCACCTAGTTGACTGGAGATCCTAAGATCTAGGTTCAAAGGGACAACCGAATTATGGATGACTTCACGTATCACTAAGGAGGTTTTTCTCCTACCCATTTCTATGATAAGAAGAGTGATACTTGCAGCCTTAGTAGGATAAGCTTTGTTTTTAATGATTCTTATAGTTTGGACATCCAGGTGGGGTATGAAAGGATACTCTTAATAAGAAGTCATATATATAAGTGTGAACTAGGCCGTTCTATGAGAATTGAGAATGCTAAATTCTCTAGAGCACTCATGAATTACCAGGTGTTATTCAGGGCCAAAATGAACACAATCGCAAGAACCAAACTATGTCTGCAGATACACTATGTGTAGTCTATTGTCTTGGCTTATACAAATAGCTAAATAGTTCAAGGCATCGCATCCATTAGTTAGCTAATAAGTCCGATACGCTTTCACTAGAGGAGATTCAAAGTCAAAAGCTACCTATCTCGATGTGGTGTATCTTCTTAATGTACTCTTTCTTTGTCTGCATTTTGTTGCTTGTCCGTTATCGTGAATTCCATTCATGTGGGAGATTGTTGGAAAATGGCTTTATATAGTTTTGTATAAACCTTATTTTTTGCTAATTTTAAGCATTAATTAAGGTAGGACCCAAGCGTTATTTTTAACGTTTCCAATTGGGTTCGTGTTTAATGTCGTGTAGTAAATAACATCGTGTATATTTGGTTACTTAAAACCATTTCCGGATGAATGAGAATTTAACGCGCATTTTCAGGTTCGTAGATATGACTTTAGGTGGGTTTCCTATATATTTGTAAAATGTGCTTGTCCTACATTGGAAATGCTTAAGGATTTATATGGGTACATAAACTCTAGCTTGGGATGCTTGGGATGGACCCCAAGCAGTACCCAAGTTTGTGGAAGGGTGAGGTTATGGGTAAAGTGGGCTAAAACCATTGGACCCAAAACAGAAAACACGCGCGCGCGTCGTCACTGTCCATCTGTCCAGTCGGTCTGTCAAGCGAGCTGGGCTAGGCTTAGGTGCAGGTGCGAGATGTGAGGTTGGGTTGGGCTTGTCCGACCTAATACTTATCTTTTTGGGCCAAAAACAATTGTATTTTATTTATTTATTTTTTAATTTTGGTTTTGAAATTCAAAATAAATCGGTCCAGATTTTTTCCTCCACCCAAACAGGTTTAAAACTCTACCCAAACAGGTTCATACCTATTGAAATTCAAACCAAACAGATCTATTTCTGTTTAAACAGGTTTTCTACCTGTTGAATCCACCAAAACAAGTTTTCTACCTGTTGAATCTATCCAAATAGGTTTTTATCTATTGAAACCTATTCTGGAAAGCCACCAATTTTCCTATAAATAGCCTGTCATTTCAGTAATTCTTGGCATCGAAATTTTCCTAACATTTTTTCCTTTCTTCTTTTGTTCGTCCTTCTATGCTGTTGTATTTGTCTACCATTAAGTTTCTGAGAAAGGAAAGAGAGAGCTACAGCATTGTTTGGTTCGTCAGACTTGAGTTTGTAGTGCTGCAAATCAAGTGTTGGTCATTGCATTCTGGGAAGTAGACGTCGTTAAATCTCGAAGTATCGGAGCGAGGGGAAAATCTACTTTAAGAAGATTGTGTCCAACACAAACCTCGACTTATAATTTCTGTAAGCAATTGATTCGGAATTTAATTTATAAAATTAGTTTCTGAATTAATTATTTTTATTTTGCTGTTTATTTTATTTATACATTTATTCACACATACACACATCCACTGTGGGGATAACAGATTTGTTGCAGTGGCAGTGGCGATGGCGGTGGCGATGGCGATGTCGAGTGACGGTGGTCTGTGCTGAGATAAGATGAGGTCAGGTGAGGTGAGGTCAGGTGAGGTTTGGTGGTCACACATAATTTGTGTGTGAGAGAGAAGAACCGGATATCTATTTCCATAGAACAATGCGCCAATATTATTCATTTTCCTCTAAAATTAATTAAACCTTTAGCTACTAAACCATTTATTTGTTGCCAACAATTGTAATTGGGCAACTATTTTTTTTTTGGTCGGAAAAAATTGAATAAACCACGACTAAATTTGTTTTCGTCACCAAAAGTTAATATTTGCCGACTAATTTATTGGTAGCCAAAGAGTAACATGAAAATTTGACTGTTATTTGATGACTAAACCTTTTTTTGTCGGTAATAATTAATATAACACGACTAAAACCGTATTTAGTAGCCTAAAATCTAAACTTATGCTGACTAATTTTAGTCGTCAGAAAGTGACATATCAACTACTAATTTTTTTTTAAGTTAATATACGTCAACGAAAAAAATTTAGTAGCTACAGACTATGCTTACACTGACTAATACATTTTTTTAGTAGTCAAAAGTTAAAATTGTTGTAGTGACATAAGCAAATTAAGAAATAAATAAATACCAATGTGTATGGATATGTGTAGCACATTCCGTCCGACGATGTACATCTTTTGCCTATAAATTAAAGCTCTTATGTAATCCAACCATATTGTCTTAGTTCTAAAGTCTGAACTCAAATATTGAAGTAAGAGAGAGAAAAAAACAAGAAAGATGATGTCAAACCCTTCAATCTTGATCAAGCTTTTGGTGGTGCAATGCCTAGCAGTTCTCTGTGTTGCTAAGGATTTTGATTTCTTTTACTTTGTTCAACAGGTGAGAATGTGCCTTAATCTCTCTCTCTCTCTCTCTCTCTCTCTCTCTCCCTCTCTTAGCCAGGCATATGTTAATTTCTAGATTTGATAATTCGAGGAGTATTTGTTGGTACTTCACATTTATGTTTCTTTGATCAATTGCAAATTCAGTTAAACACACAATATATTTATGTTGGATGTACACATGAATTATTGGAAGAAAAAACCTAGTGTGAACTAAGAATTTGGTTCTTGTGTTGTAGTAGTCTATTTAATCAATTTATTGACTTGTACTGCCATAATGTGTGTAATTTCTTAGGTATGTTTGGTTTTGTATATTATTTGAACATGAGGAAAAGGACTAACAAGGCACCTCACAACAGAAAAAAAAGTATGCAATTAGTTCACCAAAACAAACATTAATCATCCTAAAACCTCTTGATTAGTGTTTAAGGTTAAAGGGGTAGTAGTTCAATTCAGGTTTTCAGTTTTATTTATTATTATTATTTTTTGTTTTGGTTTGGTATGACGCTTCGGATTGAATCCTCCAAATATCTTTATAAGAAGTGGGTTTACAATTCATTGATTTAAAAGTTCATAGTTTGGGGAAGGTTTATAGTTTAATTTAGGTGGAGTAGTTTAATTCACAATGAACAAATTCTTGCAAGTGTTTGGATTGTTCAAAGTAATTTTGGCTAATAACATCATCTTTCTTCATCTTACATCTCTACGTGTAAAGGCATTGCATTTTGCTTTCCTCTTTTCTGTTTTTGTATTTATTTACTTTTTTAAGGTTTTTACAATTAGAGTTGTTTGCCATTTTGTGATTTTTGATTTACAGGCGTGGTATGAGCACTTTGAGGTTGATGAATGAGTTATAGCTATAAAAGGTAAATTTATTAGTTGACTATAGTTGCATTCTTTTATTTTGTTTTTACGAACCAGTAACTAAGTTTAGTCATAACATCTTTTATGGTACGAACCAGTAACTAAGTTTTGTCATAACATCTTTTATGGTCGTAAAACACTTACACCGGAAAGATCCCACAGTGATCGATTTCTATGAAAGTATTTTTCTTTTATTTTTGTGTTCTAAGATTTCGTTTGGGAACACGTTTTTAGTGACTTTTAGTTTTTTTTACTAAAATATAAAATGCAAAAAGTTAATTACCTTGTTTGATTTCAAAAAATTAAGTTTTTTATTTTTCATATGTTTTTTTTAGTCAAAATTTTTAATATTTTAAGAATTTTCTTTCATTTTTGAGTAAATTACAAACACATCCCCTGAGATTTACTTAAATTATAAATTACGTCATGTGATTCTAGAAATTACATTGTGCCCCCTACGATTTCTAATTTCATAACAAATATGTCTTTCATTAATAAATCATCAGATTAATTAACAGTTTTTAATAATGTTAAAATTTTATTTCAATTAATAATTCAGATAATTTTATTATTGTATAAGTGAACAGTTAGAAATTTCTCTTTTTTAATTAATTCTGTTAAATAAAAAATTATGACAGAGAGGTATTTGTAATTTTCTAAATCACAGGGAACAATTCGTACTTTAAGCAAATCTCAGAAAGCGTATGTGTAATTTACTTTTATTTTTTTAAATGCACCTAACCTAGATACACTTAAAAAGTATAATATTTATAAAAAAATTCATCAAATAAAATAAAAATATAAGAAAATTCAAAAATCCAATACATTTCGTATTCTTGTATATTTATTGAATTTTTAAAATATCTTTTCACAAATATATTTACTTTATAAGTGCATCTAAATTATGTGTATATAGAAAGTAAAAAAAAAAAAAAAAAAAAAACTTAAAATATTAAAAAAAAATATTAAAAACAAAAAACTTGATTTTCTTTAAGCAAATCTCAGAAAGCGTATGTGTAATTTACTTTTATTTTTTTAAATGCACCTAACCTAGATACACTTAAAAAGTATAATATTTCTAAAAAAATTCATCAAATAAAAAAAAAATATAAGAAAATTCAAAAATCCAATACATTTCGTATTCTTGTATATTTATTGAATTTTTAAAATATCTTTTCACAAATATATTTACTTTATAAGTGCATCTAAATTATGTGTATATAGAAAGTAAAAAAAAAAAAAACTTAAAATATTAAAAAAAAATATTAAAAACAAAAAACTTGATTTTCAAAAATCAATCAAAACCAAACAAGGTAAATATGTTTGTGATTATTTTTGGATTTTTTATGAAATGATATGTAAAAAGTAAAGTGAATGAAAATAAATATTTGACTTAGTATTTATTGATTTTTTAATTTTTTTTAGTGACTTTTAGAATACTTTGCAATATTTCCAAATGAGGCCAAAGTTCTGAATGAATATGAGAAAGTATGAATTAAAATAGAATGGCACTTTATTTTGAAATGAGGGATAATCTCTTAACCGCAATGTCATTTCATATGTAAATTTCCTGAAAAAATATTTGGGTTATGATCATCTTCTATGCTATATATAAAGCAAATATTAGAGTTAGTGTTTGTGTCATGATTCACTCCCCCCCCCGCGAAAATACCCACAAGCACTCTAATAACAGCAATCATCTCATTATTCAATTATGCCCAAGTTTGTCTCTCTCCTTTTCTTTTATTATTATTTATTTTTTAAACTTTTGATCTTTTCAAATTCATAAAATACTTCAAAATCTAAATTCAAACATACAATTTATAATTTCTTTTCATTAAAAGAAAACGATGTTATACACACGCGTCGCGTATGCTACTATTATGATATGTTGATATGTTGGAGCTAAAGTCGGCTTAGCTGCATATATATTTTAACATGTATTGCCCAATACGTAATTAAAGTTAGTTAAACATGAATTCCCATGGAAAGTCCAAAAGAGATACTTGATTGATGTGATTAGGGGTGTGTACGGTGCGGTTCAAGTAATTTGAGAGTAAAATTATAAATCGAATGGTGGATTGACAAATTACAGTTTGAGCTATTTTTGGCGGATTAAAGAATATTCTAACTAATTATCATATATTTGCATTATATATAACACTAATTTATATAATATTTTTATATATGTATAACACAAAATAATTTTACACAATATGTTTCATATATATAACTACTAATTTGTAATAAATTTCATATCTTAAATCTCTTTCATACTCATTTTTATTTTGATATTTCATTAAAAGTTAAAAAATATATATGTATTAACTATAGGGGAGTAGAACGGTTTGAAAAGCGAATTATAAATTTTAAAGTTTAAATTGTGATTAACAATTGATACGAATTAATATGAATCAATATAATTTTAATAGTAATTTGAGTTGGTTAAAATCAGAGTTGCACTGTGGTTGAACCAGAGTTTCAAGGCCTTCAACTTCACTGTCCAGGACTTCTTGTCCAATTTAAGACAAATCAGGTACTGTTTGGGGAGTAAATCTGTCCTATGTGGCTAATTTAGATATCAGTCTCCTGGAGGGCTGCTGTTTTGGCCTGTTGTACATCAGCTTGAGCTTTTTCTCACCTCTGGGCTAGGTTTGGTCTTGTTTTGCATTTTTATTTCTCTGCTTTGTTCTTTTTTTTTTCCTGTTTCGGTTTGGTTCCTCTCCAAACCCCTTTCCTCTCCTTTTTGATGTACTCTCATCTTGTATGGTTTGGTCATCAATAAAGGTTTCTTTGGCTGCTTCAAAAAAAATTTGCATAGCCCTAGATGTGATGACTCAACGACCACCTTCCTTGAAGAAAACTGCTACGCATTCAAACTTGTGATGACTTTGGGGAGTCCTTCAACTTTCTTACGTTTTTCCACCTTGGTTACACCCACCTAAATACACCCCCATATAATTCATCCCCATGGTTTACTTTTAAGTTTAGCTTTCTACTGGGACCCATTAAAGTTAAATGATTGGAATAATTCTAAATCGGTTTACAAAATAAGTTTGTAAGAAAAAAAAATTATTTATACAATATTATAAATTTTGAAATGTATATCCATTTTGATTTGTCACCTACACTACACCAAATCTTAAATCTATATCTTACATACAGATTTTTGTAGCAAGTTGTTATCAAACCACACATTTTATGTCCAAAAGGAGAAGAAAAGGGAGATTTTTATAGCATCTTAAAAAAAGAGAGGCAAATTACTTGGAAATCCTATTTAAAAGAAGAGAAATTATTTAATTTCACAACTTTGGATACTTTCAAAAGTCTATTACGTATTTTTCTTCTTCGTTCTTCTCTATCTTTTTCTCTTCGTAATTTTCGGCGACCACGCCTTACTTCTTCTCTTTATCTTTCTAATATATAGTCACCAGCGACTGACAACCACCATTGATTGGGGTTCACCGGCGATTACCGACTCTTTACTTCACCATCATCGACGGCAAAGGAAACGAGTTTCCAGTGAAAAAGATGAATAGATTTACTCAAATCTGATGTAGATCTACTCAGATTTACATTAGATTTGAGAAGATCTACATCAGATTTGACTAAATCTAAATCAAAAATAGTTGTCGGAGTATAATCTTCTCTGTATATCTGTTTCTCTCCTTCGATCTCTCAATTTTTCTATGTTTTCTCTATTATACACTCATATTTTCCTATTTTAATGGAGAAATTTTTCAAATTCTGAACAAATAGTTTTCGAATTTTAGTTACAGGCGGTGAAAACTACAAATTTTTACAGTTTCAATTTTTTGATGCTGAAATGAATCATGTTTTAAAATTACAAAATTTTACAGTTTCATAACATATGTTTCCAATTTGATTAATAAAGATAAATGCTTAATAGAATTATGCTTTGAAACTGTAACATTTTAGTGTTTCAAAGTTTACTTTTTAGTTTGATCAATATTGAAGATTATTTGCTTAAACCATATAAAACTTGAAAAATAGTATATGTTTTTTTTTTCCCCATTGTTGTTTTTTTTTTTGTTGTTGTTGTTATGCTTTTTCTTTCTTTCAATTTATCAATATTTAAGCATATTTTGGTATGTTTTTTCATTATAATCTACATTTCTGTGAGTCTCCAACCATATTCTTGACGTCCTACGAATATTATGGACATTCCAGCGACTTCTAGTAAAGTTTAGGACACACTGGCGAACTTCCAGCGATACTTCGGCAGCTTGCCCGTGATGTTGAACATTTCGGCGAGTTTTCGGTGACCTCCTGATTGAAGTTTGACGGTGGTGGAATGTAGCAACGTTTTTTAATTTATATATAAAAAAGAATTTTTTGATAACAATTAAAAATATGCAGGACTAATTGGTACAAGTATTTTGTTTTTAGACTAGATGAGTTTTGAATTTTGTGTACAAGACTTACTGGCAAGTGCCCCCAAAAAGAGTTAGGCTTCATATTCACATCTCAATATTAGAGAACTTGAAGTGTTCTTGCAGCCCATTACGAGTCTCATTTCAATGAGTTCATTTTGTACGTTCCTCAATATATATCATCCATGAAAAAAATTAGGTTGATCGAATAATTGTATCATTTTTATTTTATCAAGTTTGTTTTCAAAATGAACGGTCTGTTTTCAAAATATATATTTGTGATCTATTTTTTTAGAGATAAATGTTAATAAATGAAAGTAATATGATTATGCCGCCAAATTATGCCTATATTCCTTATATTTTAATCATTATGTCATTTTAACATCTATAATTTTAATTGGTTCAATCTTGATCGTGAATTTATCATCAAGGAACATACATCAACACATAACAGTGGAGTGGAAAAGGCATCATACAACACTTCCCATCCCAACTATAGATTGGCATAGAAAAATATGTCTAATCGTATGCAAGTACAACATTAAAGCATAGTTGGAGAAATTCTAACTAAAACCAAGAAAAGAGAGGGCCATCACTTTACAATTTACAACCAAAAAAGTCAGATTTTTTTGGACCGTAGTAGGGTTACAAGCTCCATCTGTTCGCATTGTATATAGATGTGTTTATATTCTTGCCTTTGCGGTTATGATTTGAGTTTGTGGGGGTATATATATATATATATATCTCTTTTTTGGTACTAAAATTTTATGTATACAAAAATAAATCAGCATTTTTTTTCATTTGTGGAAGTTTCAGAGATGAGTTTGATTGTGTTTTTGTAGATCTCAGACCTCGCCAGTAGATTGGAAAAAGACTGGCCAACACTAGCATGCCCAAGTGGGGATGGGTTGAAGTTCTGGGGACATGAATGGAATAAACATGGGACTTGTGCTGAGTCTGTCTTTGACCAGCACAGCTACTTCCAAACTGCTCTTGACCTTAAGAACAAAGCCAACCTTCTTCAAGCCCTCACCACTGCAGGTATTTATTTCTCCATTTTTAACTACAAAAATGCTATGTAGGTGGTGTTTGACAATTATTTTTTAATTTCATTTTTAAAAATACAAAAAAAAAAAAAAAACTAATGCAGTTGATAATTATGAAAAAAATTATTTTTTGTTAAAGGATAGTTGGATGAGGTGAAAAAAATTAGTATATTTAAGATATTTTTTTAGCTTTTAAAAACAAACATATAAAAAGTAGAGAAAAAAAGGAATTTTTGATTTTTTTATATGGTTCTTTAGTTTTTTTAGCCTCTTTAATGACTTTTTTAGGATGTTTTCAAACAAAACCTTATTGTTTTGGGTATGATTTATAAATTGATTTTTTTACTTATTATGAAAAGACATGCAAAAAAATAAAAAGGTAATGTGACTCAAATAAGCTAATAAGACAATAATTAACTTATTTATAAGGTGGCCAAATGATTAACCCAAAAGCTGCTTTTTTTAGATGAAGTCGAATATCCTAAAACATCATCAGCCAATTTTTCCCTGAGCAGTGGTGTTTTATAAAAAAAATTCAAATTATTCCTATTTTTTTAGGCATTGCAAGTACATATCCCCTTAGTATTAGGAACCGGCCTGACCATATCCTAATGAAAGTTTGATGTTAAAATTTACAGATATTCGACCAAATGGGAAGTTTTACCACTTAGAGAGCATCAAAGAAGCCATTAGAGAAACTGTTGGAGTCACCCCCTACATTGAGTGCAATGTGGATACATCAGGCAACCACCAGCTCTACCAGGTTTACATGTGCGTCGACTCTTCTGGGTCCAACTTCATCAAATGCCCAGTTCTACCCCATAGTCACCCTTGTGGTTCCAAAATCGAATTCCCTTCCTTCTCAGATAACTCAAACTCGAAGAATGATGAACTCTGATAACGATATTGTCCTTTTTATTGTTTCATTGATCATCATCATCAGTTGGATTTTAATAATTGCTTGTAGTAACCATCATTCATTGACTATTGCGTGGGCGATTTAGTTCTTGTTTTCCTCGGACTTTGCTGCTTTGATCAGGGTCTCATATATGTAACCACTTTGATTTGTCAATGAAATAGTGTTTTTATTAAATCAAAAGATCACAATTTTAATCCAAAAGTGTTCTTTGTAATTATGCTTATTTGCTTTAAAACATGAAAGAGGACACTTACGTGGTATCCCTAGGGGTGCAACTCGGGCGGGTTCGGTCGGGTTGGGGGTCTGCCCAAGCCCGACCCGAATTGTATTTGGCACTGTCCAAACCCGCCCAAGCCCGACCATGAACCCGAACATTGTTGCCCAAGCCCGGCCCAAGTTTTGTATTTTGAACTCGGGTTGCCCGAATTGCCCGAGTTCAGAAACCTGTAGGTAGATCTAAGGGTAGACATAAAAGATGCTAATCTAATGGTAGAAAACTAACAAAAAAAAATAAAAAATAAAAATTAAGACTAACTCTTTTACTTAATAGAAGACTAACCAAAAATAAAAATAAAAATAAAAACTAAGACTAACTCTTTTACTTAATTTATATATATTACATAATTTATTAAATTATATATATATTATATATTATATATTATATATTATATAATTTATATAATATATTAAATTGAATTCGGGTTCGGGTTGCTCGGTTGGCCATTGGTTCTGCCCAAGCCCGGCCCGAATTGCAATTCGGGCATCAAAAATCTGCCCAAGCCCATACAGATTACAAGATATAGTTGTCCAAGTCCTAAAAAAACTCGGGCTGGGCTCGGGTTACTCGGGTTGAGCCCGCCCGAATTGCACCCCTAGGTATCCCTTATCGCCGGATCACTATTATGGAACCACATAGAGAAATTAAAAAAGCAATTCAATGCATGAATTTTTTTTGTTAAAACAGGATTTGGATTTTGGAAAGACGGTTTGAGTGAACCCGCTGACCAAATATAATAATGACAAACCATACTATTGGGACAAGATGCCCTTACACCCACAAACTAATGAATAAATCTTAATCATTTAGGCTTCTTTGACCATTTTAATATATTTTATTTATTTATTTATATATCTTGTTCGTGAATCTTATTTTGTCTTGTTCGTGAATGTAGATTCATTATTTTGGTGACCTTTTATCTTATTCATGAATTGTATCTTGTTCATCTTGTTTTGGTAACCTTTTGTTTTGTTCATGAATAACAATTAATTGGAATTCATAAACTTGGTGGTGAGTTAATATCTGGGGACTTTCTATTTTCTCTAATTTAATGGTCATTATTATTTTTGATATAAATTGTAAGGTCTTAGTGGTCTATAAACAGCTCCTCTCATTTACTCTTTTCTATACCAACTTTTTTTATAGGGTCTGGCTTTAGTCCAGTCTACCATCGGACTGGACCGTTTTGTTGGGCCCGTGGTGGGCCACCACGGGTCCCGTTTTGAAAATCTGAACCATTAAATGTGTAGAACTCTTCGAGTACTATATGCCTATAAAAAATCATGATGATCGATATTGATAGCTATGTGATCAAATCAGTTTTTTTCTACCGTTAATTTATTCACCGTCCATTTTTTTATACAATACTGATTTGATCACATAGCTATCGATATCCGATCAACATAATTTTTTACAGGCATATAGTACTTGAAGAGTTCTACACATTGAACGGTTCAGATTTTCAAAACAGGACCTGTGGTGGGCCTCCACGGGCCCAACAGCACGGTCCAGTCCGATGGTGGGCTGGACCAAAGCCAGACCCTTTTTATATTTGAGAGATTAATAACCAAAGAAACGTGCTTTTCTTGGTAGAGCTTTAGGTTCACCATCTTGTGCAGAGTTGGCCTGAACCATACGACAAGTGGTTGGGCTGTTGTATCCTGGAAGAGACAAGTCATAGTTTTATGACTGCTGCATTGGTATTTGGGTTCTTCATACCGCAGTAGGCTTGATCTCCTTAAAAAAAACGAGATATCCGTGCCTCATCCTGATCTATTTGTATCTCATTTTTTTTACATTATTTATCAATAAAATATAATTTTTCTGGTATTTTTTCCAACAATGCTTTGATGGATTGAGTTGAGAAAGAAAAATAATGATAAATTTGTTACTTGGTGAAAAAGATTATTGTGATTTCTCACCATCGTATTTAGATGAATGACAAGTAAAATATGACATATATATAATTTAATTTAATTTGTTTTTATTTAGAGAGATAATTTATTTTTATTTTTTTTTTATGAAAACAATTTTGATTTCTCACCACTTTCGATAATTTTGATTTCTCAGTACTTTTGATAAGAAATAAAAATTAAATTCTAAAAGACGTTTCTTTTGTCACAATGACGCATCATTTCTCACTACTTTCTCTCCTTAATCATGCAAACAACAAATTATGAGAGATCTCCTTTCCATTTTTTTTTCCCCTTTCTTTCTCATCAAACCCCCCAAATCCAAATGGGCCATTAATTAACTCCCATCACTGATGACCCAGATGATAACAATGAGAATTTTGTAACATAGTAAAAAATTTAAGCGAGGTACTAAGATGAGTCTAGCTGGTTTTTCATTATTCCACCCCAATCAAATAAGTTTTCAATCTCTTTTATCCCAACACCTACCATATATCATTTTCTTTCCCTTCTACTCAGATTGGTCAAGCGAAAAACAAAAAAAAAATGGATACTTCAAAAAATACGGAATAACAAGGTCTCACCAAATGTGTGAACATATCATGACATGTAATGAGAATTCAAAATATGTACTGTATTAGTTATAACATATTTTTCATGTGCTCCAAATTGTTTCATATTAAGTGTAGGGATGAGTATCGACCTGTTGACTCGCCTAGTCTGCTGGGCCTGATCCTATTTTTTTAGGATTTGGAAAGGTTATTTTAAACCATAGGGCCGAGCTGGACTAACATTTTCAGCTTGATATATTAATGGGCTGAGTTTGAGATTTATACTTTCAACTCAGATTGGCCCGCTACTAAATAAATAAATTACTTGATTCATTATAATATATCAATATATATATACACTTTTTTGGAATCTAGATTTCTTTATTGATTTTATTGAAATCTATATTTGTGGCGACGTTTCATTGAATTTATTTAAGAAATTCTTCAATTTATACACAAAATCTTTCAATTTATGAAGAATTTATTATATTTATTTTATAAATATAATGTGTGATTAAATTTAATTATGGAATGTTTTAAATTTTTTTCAAAAAAATATAGTCCGATAGGTGAGCTTGAAATTTATAATTGTTTTTTGGGCAGACTTGAGCAGATGAAGATGCTCGATGTTAGAGTCGAGCCGGGTTTGTTTAGATACAAAATCCCTTACTATGTGTGTGTGTTATTTTCTGACCACACTGCCAAACAGGTACTCAGTTGGAGAACACCGGCAGAATAGATTACGCCCGAACGACCCGTCACAGAAAGAAAAGACTCCGGCGGTGATTCGTCCACCAGGAGGCACTCCGACGATCAAGTCAATAATCAATATCTCTCAAAGATAACCAATTGTGCTTAACTCACAAGTCAGAATACAAAAACGTACCTTAGACCCACGAGGGTGCCTTACTTTTATAGTCAGCACTGTCCTGATTCTTGTAAAAGCCTAGCTGTAACGACCCTATCACGTATAATGCTTAGCAATTAATTAATTATGGAGATTTGAAATTTGATTGCAAATTATAATGATTTAATCAGGCATTCACGAAAATTATGGAGATTGATTCATACATGATTCTATTAAAGATTTATTTTGAAATTAGAAATTAAGGATCCAAATGGCTTAAGGAAGTGAAATTAAAAAGTTAAATCAATTTAATCTTTATTACAGATCCATTTGGGAGTTTAATTAAATATTCTATTCAGTTTAGTAAAATTGATATTCGATTAATTAGATCCTAATTGGAGTTAATCAAGTTAATTAAATTATGAAGATTGAGAATTGTGATTATTAAGAATTAAATTCATTTATGGGGTGCCTAATTTGGATAAGCAATTTATTGACAAAATTATGAGTCTGATCAGAAATTGAAGGCTTAAATGATTTAAGAAACCAAAATTGAGAATGTGAATAAGTTCAATTTGATATTTGGAGCCTTTTTGAGAGTTTAATTAAAACCTGATTCAGATTGATAAATTTAAATATAATTAATTGGGCTCTAATGGAAGTCAATTAGACTAATTAAATTATGTAGAATTTGTGTTAGGGCTAATCAAGATTAATTAAGATTAAATGATGTTCAATTAAACTAAAATGTAATTGATATATTAATTTATTTTTAATATAATTATAATGCAAAAGGGGATGTTGGTGTTGTTGGAAGTTCAAGACAGCAATGCTATATACATAATATACATCATCAAGTGGTAAGGGTGCTGGAAAGAAAAAAAAAAAACAGAGCCGAAGGAGAGAGAGAGAGAGAGAGAGAGAGAGAGAGTTGTGCTAGTGGGTTCAAGTCAAGGGAAAGAAATACAAGAAGAGAATCAAGGAGAGGAAGGAAAGTTCAAGAATTTCAACTCATTTAAAGTTTAAGGTATGAAATTTATGTTAATTTGTGTAGAATCTTTACATTACACTTGAAATTAAAGGTGAGATTGGAATCAATAGCAAGAAGAAGAAGGAAAATTGACTTAAGTGTAAGATTATGGAAGCTAATTTGGAATTGGGTTCTAAACATGAAATGGGTTACATGCATGTGGATGATTATGGAATAAATTTAGGAATTAATTATTTTGGGTTTGATTTTGTGATCTTGCATGAAAATAAACCTCATTGTTACATGCATGAGCAAATTAATACTCTAATTACAATATGTTTCAAGGATTATGAAAAATCTAAATTAATTCAAGTTCACATTTGAAGAGAAAAAGGAAATGTTTTATGAGAATCAAGTTTTTGAAAATTTAGAATGTTAGATAAAGTTTTGATTTTATAATTAGATTTTTAACCCATGCATGTAATGTAAGTTAAGAAATTAATTCATAAT